AATTTAAAAAAAAAAAAAAAAAAAGAGGCCGGGCGCCGGTGGCTCAGACCTGCAATCCTAGCTACTCAGGAGGCTGAGATCTGAGGATCACGTTCAAAGCTAGCCCGGGTAGGAAAGACCGTGAGTCTCTTATCTCCAATAAACCATGAGAAAACTGATAGTGGTGCTGTGGCTCAAGAGGTAGAGCACTCGCCTTGAGCTGAAAAGCTGAGGGACAAAACTCAGGCCCATGGGGCTGAGAAGGTGGCCCAGTGGTAGAGCGCTTGCCTTGCATGCATGAGGCCCTGGGTTCCATTCCTCAGCATCACATAAGCAAAAAGAAAAAACCAGAAGTGGCCCAGTGGCTCAAGTGGTAGAGTGCTAGCCTTGAGCTGAAGAGCTGAGGGACAGTGCCCAGGCCCAGAGTTCAGGCCCCACGACCGGACCCAAAAAAAAAAAACAAAAAAACCTCAGGCCCAGAGTTCAAGCCCCAGGACTGGAAAAAATAAATAAAAATAAGGAAAAGAGCTGGTCCTAAGAAGTTCTCCTTTCTTAAGCAAGCACCTTTAAGGAAATAATCCCACATTCATTGTACAAATACATAGCTCTCAGGGGACTTGAAACGCGTGCGCGCGCGCACACACACACACACACACGAATAGACACAGGCCAGGCACTGATGGCTCACGCCTGTAATCCTAACTACTCAGGAGGCTGAGATCTGAGGATCCTAGTTTAAAGCCAGCTGGGGCAGGAAAGACTTCGGGACTCTTATCTCCAATTAACCACCAGAGAACTGGAAGTGGCACTGTGGCTAAAAGTGGTAGAGCACTAGCCTTGAGCTGAAGAGCTGAGGGACAGCACCCAGGCCGAGTTCAAGCCCCATGACCGACATAAAAAAAATTTTTTTTGTGATGAACTCAACTGGTCAGATCAATTTAAGCATCTATTATAGGCAGGCATTCTAGCCATTTGAGCTACACCTCTAGCTGCCTTAATGTGTGCCAGTGCTCGGGCTTGAACTCAAGGTCTTGAGCTCTTGAGATGTGGATTTTCATTCATGGATTTTTTTCTACCGCTTGAGCCATGCCTTCAGCCCAAAGATTCCATCTACAAGCAAAAGGGAACCAAGTTTGTATTACCACAAACTAGACTTAAGTGTCCAGTGCCAAGTTTTTATAGTATATATACTTTTTGGAGTTTCTACACCTCCAACACTTACCAACCCCCAAAAAGCAGTGTCCAGCTCTGTGCTCATACTGTCTAGGAAGAAGGTGGAGATCACAATTTCAGACCAACCTAGGAAAAAGTTCACAGGACCCTATCAACCAATAAGCCAGCTGTGGCAGTAATGTGCTTCTCATCTCAGCTATGCCCAGAGGCCATAGGTCGGAGGAACTTTGTCTGAAGCTGCCTCAGCAAAGACATGAGACTACCTGAAAAATAAAGCAGAGGGCTGGGAATGTGGCTCAGTGGTAGAGTGCCTGCCTAGCATGCATGAAGCTCGAGGTTCAATTCTTCAGTACCATATAAATGGAAAAATCCAGAAGTGACAATGTGGCTTAAGTGGTAGAGTGCTGGTCTTGAGCAAAAGAATCTCAGGGATAGTGCCCAGGCCCGGGGACTGGTAAAGAAAAAGAGAGAGGGGAGAGGAGGGAGGGGGAAGAGAGAAAAAAAGGCTGAAGATGTGGCTCAAGTGGTAGAGTGTCTGCCTAGCAAGCATAAGGCCCTAAGTTCAGTTCTGTCAAATGTAGAAATTAATTAATCCTATTTAGGGAATTCCTTATTTGTCCCACTCCAAATATTTTAAAAGAACTTAAATTATCAATGAAAAAATGTACAGGATTATATAGCCTATTCCTCATTTTGTGCTAAATTATAACAAATGGCCAGGCACCAGTGGCTTATAGCTGTAATTCTAGCTACTCAGGCTGAGATCCAGAGCATCTTTTCTGCTAAGATCCAGCCTTGGCAGAAAAGTACACAAGACTATCCCCCAAAATAACCAGCAAAATGCTAGAGTAGAGGTGTGGCTTAAGTGGTAGAGCACCAGCAGAGCAAGCTGGAAGTAAACCTTGTTAAAGACAAAAGAAAAGGGGCTGGGAAGGTGGCTCAGTGGTAGAGCACTTGCCTTGCATGCCTGAGGCCTTGGGTTCGATTCCTCAGCACCACATAAGCAAAAAGAAAAAACCCGGAAGTGGGGCTGTGGCTCAAGTGGTAGAGAGCTAGCCTTGAGCTGAAGAGCTGAGGGACAGCGCCCAGGCCCAGAGTTCAGGCCCCACAACCGGATTCCCCCCGCCCCAAAAAAAAAGACAAAAGAAAAAAAAAGACAATCAATCTGAATTTTAGAATTCACAGGAGTTTAATTAACCTTTGTAACACATCTTTCATCCTTTTTATAAAGCCATCATTCATATATGAGCACTCTTAATTAACATTTTATATTCCATAGACTTCCAACTTCATAATGACTTCAAGATTTCATCATTCATTCCAATGTTTAAAAAAAAAAAAAAGGAAATGGTGTCCAAATGTGAATAACAAGTCCAAGATTTTCTGCTATGCTTTGTTTCTAAATTTAAAATGGTTGTACTGTTTAACCCTTACAAGAATTCAGTCAGGGTAGAAGAACATATCTTTTTTTTTTTTTTTGGAAGAACATATAATCTTAAGATACGCATTTTTTGTTTTGTTTTGTTTTTGGGTCCGGTCGTGGGGCCTGAACTCTGGGCCTGGGCACTGTCCTTCAGCTCTTCAGCTCAAGGCTAGCACTCTACCACTTGAGCCACAGCACCACTTCCGGCTTTTTTCTTTTTGCTTATGTGGTACTGAGGAATCGAACCCAGGGCCTCAGGCATGCAAGGCAAGCGCTCTACCACTGAGCCACCTTCCCAGCCTAGCCTAGACTTTAATTCTATTTATTCTTCCCAAGTAGCTGAGATATGCATCACAATACACAGCTATTTCTGTTGAGATAGAGAGCTTATGAAACTTTTTGCCCAGGCTGGTCTGGAACCATCATCCTCTTAATCTCAGCCTCCCAACCAGCTGGGATGATAGATGCATGCCACGCCCCCCCCCCAATATTGGTTGAGATGAGGTTTCATGATTTCTTTTTTCAGTCCTAGGGCTTAAACTTGGGAGTTGGGAACTGTAACTGAGCCTTTGTGCTCAAGGCTAGCACCCTACCACTTGAGCCACAGTGCCACTTCTAGCTTTTTTCTGAGTAGTTTATTGGAGGTAAGATCCTCGGATCTACCTCTTGAGTAGCTAGGATTACTGGTGTGAGCCACCAGTACCCAGCCATTTTTTTTTTTTTTTGGGTCGGTGGAGGAGCTTGAACTCTGGGCTTGGGCGCTGTCCCTGCACTCTTCAGCTCAAGGCAAGCGCTCTACTGCTTGAGCCACAGTGCCACTTCTGGTTTTCTAGTGGTTTATTGGAGATAAGAGTCTCACAGACTTTCCTGCCCAGGCTGGCTTTGAACCGCAATCCTCAGATCTCAGCCTCCTGAGTAGCTAGGATCACAGGTGTGAGCCACCAGTACCCAGCTCACATTTATTTTTTTTTGGGTCCGGTCGTGGGGCCTGAACTCTGGGCCTGGGCGCTGTCCCTCAGCTCTTCAGCTCAAGGCTAGCGCTCTACCACTTGAGGCACAGCGCCACTTCTGGCTTTTTTCTTATGTGGTGCTGAGGAATCGAACCCAGGGCCTCATGCATGCAAGGCAAGCGCTCTACCACTGAGCCACCTTCCCAGTCCATTTTTTGTTTTTAAACTAAGCTGACCTCAAAATGCAGCCCTTCAATTTTTTTTTGGTTCATTTTTTTTAATTTTCAAGGTGAGGTACCGAGGGGTTAGTTACATAAGATAGTGAATACATTTCTTGTCTAACTTGTTACTCCCTCCCTCATTTTCTCCCTCTAAATTTAATTTTTTTATGCTAAATAGGGAATTCTGTACTTTTCACTGGCAATTGGCTAGATATCTGTATGTTTCTAATTTACAAAAGAAATACAAGTCATGGAAAGTTCCATCCCAAAGAAGTAAACTTAGCTTTAAAAAAAGGGGGGGGAGGGCTGGGTGCTGGCGGCTCATACCTGTACTCCTAGGTACTCAAGAGGCTGAGATCAAGCCGGGCACCGGTGGCTCAAGCATGTAATCCTAGCTACTCAGGAGGCTGAGATCTGAGGATTGCAGCTCAAAGCCAGCCCATGCAGGAAAGTCCGTGAGATTCTTATCTCCAATAAACCACTAGAAAACCGGAAGTGGCACTGTGGCTCAAGCGGTAGAGCGCTTGCCTTGAGCTGAAGAGCTGAGGGACAGCTCCCAAGCCCAGAGTTCAAGCCCCACGACAGACAAGGAAAAAAAAAATGTGTCAGGCCCTGAATACAAGCCCTAGGACCAACATAAAAAAAAAAAAGACAAGAAAAGGAAGTCTGAAAAGAAATCCACTCACCAAGACTTCAATGGCTTAATGGAGAGATGATGATACAGACTTATAAGGACTCCATTAGAAAACCTTCCCCTCCTCCCCCAAGGATGACAACATACCTGAGAAGATAGAAGCAGGGTTCCAATCCAGCTTCAGTGTTCAATCTCTGCTTGCTTCTCGTATTTGCTATCAGCATCCTACTTTGCCTAACTGGCTGATGTTTAAGTAAGTTGGATACTAGTGGCTCATGCCTCTGATTCTAGCTACTCAGGAGGCTGAGATATGGAGGATCCAAACTTGAAGCCAGCCCAGAAAATCTTACTTCCAAGTAACCAGGAAAAAGCTGAAAGTGGAGATGTGGCTTAAAGGGTAGTATACCAGCCTTAAGCTAAGGAACAATGCAAGGCCCTGAGTTTAAGCACACACACACACACACACACACACACACACACACACACACACACACACACACACACACACACACACACACACACACACACACACACACACACACACACACACACACACACGATGTCTAAGTATCAGAAAGACAACAGTGTGAAAAAAAGACAAGGCAAACCCAGAGTACACACAGAAAATAGGACATATTTATTAGGCTAAAGAACAGACTGTGTCATCTCCATTTTCCCAAAACATCAAGATAGCACACATCATAATTGAGCACACAATATAAATTGACATATGCAGTCACTTGTCCCCAAAAGGGCTGTTTTAAGTCTCGGTTTGGGAGTCCTTAAAAATTTACACTCTTAAATGACCTTTATTAAAGTTATCAATAAACAAAAGAGGGTATTAGTTAAGAAAAGTCTCAGTGTAGAAGACCCAATTCCTAGGAACTGGGGACTTCCTTAAGGAAAACATTTCATTTGCCTCTATCTGAACACCAGCAAAGTATTTCAAGCTCCATTTTTACTTAGGGTAACACTGCTCAGGTTCCTAATTTGAGAGGATTATGCTAAATTTAATATTGCAACTTTCACCATCAGGCCTCTGTTCAAACTTTCAAGCTGGAAGGGATATGGTATGACAAAGGAAATCAAATTTTGCTGCAGATCAAAATAATTTTCCAAAATGCACAGTTTGCCATGGACTCAGCAAGTCTTCATCAGAGCAGAGGGGCCAATGTGGCACATTTCCACTCCCATCAGGTGATCAGGGACAAGCTGAAGTAACAACGGATGGAGCTTGGGACTGAAGCCTGCAGGGTGGACATTGGAGATCCAGAAATCCATGGTACTTCATGCTGGCATCAGACAGGCTACCAGATAGAGTAATCCTCTCCTGAAAGAGTTCCCCAAGTCTGAATGTCTGTCAAGCACAATTTAAAACATGTTCCAAATCCTCTTCCTGCATGAATGGATTGGAGCAAGGGTAAACTTGCCAACCTGCTTTGTCTGGTCACATGAGGCAGCAGCATACATTATCCAGACTGAATGCAAAAGAATTCATTTGAAGACAATGTTTAAAATTAATCTGGCATTTTTACTGTTCTGACTGTACCTTAACTATGGCATAAGGGATTTGCTAATTTGAAAACTGCAGTGCCAATATCCCCAATGCTGTCTGCAGACCACTTGATGTACTTTTGCCACTTGGAAGAATTTTCTTGTACCCAGTTATTCACTCTGGAAACAGGAGAAGCACATCTGGTTTCACCCTCAGGGAGACCTTCAGGCCGGGTAGGTGGCCTTGCAGACAGCTGAGACAAGGGGACAGGTAGGCCCAGGCCACTGGAGAAAGCACTTCGTGGTTCCCCTTTAAAACCTCCAGCTTTGCACATGGAGGGCCTTCCTGATACCCAGGGCTCTCCCTTGCGGTGCGATCCTCTGTGACTGTTGGGGGCTCCAGGCCATCTTTTTGGCCAGTTCCGCCTGAGGGCTTCCCTAGCAAACTGTTCTTCTGCAGGAATAGTGGCAGCAGCGGCGGCGGCAGGGGCATCACACAGCCCCATGGCCTGGATCAGAGCAGCTGGGGCTGAACTTCTTATTGGCTGCTTCGGACCCAGAGACACTTTGCTGCCCCAGTGAAGCAAGAGGCCAGCCTGGCTCCAACCACGCTTCATGTCTGTTGCCTCATCCTGGAAATTTCCACTGCCATCAACCCTTGGCGGCTTTAGCCCCACATATGCAGAGCAGGGGCTCCCCTTCTGTGTCCGATTGTTAAGGCTACACCACAGTGTGTCCGAGTCATCCCCTCCCAGCAGCTGGGCTTCTGCCAGGCAGGTGTCCAGGGTCCCTTTTCCATCGTTCATGTTTGTTTTCTCTGATGCAATGAGCCTGGGGAGGGGGCGCCTGAGAGTCAGGGGAAGGGGGTTCAGTGGATCTCAATATGAACCTGGAAAAGATAATAAAATTAAATTTCTGAGGTGAAGACAGAATGTCTTCAGAGTACCTTCAGGCACCCAATGAACACTGCATTCTAACGCACAGGTTCCAGTCGTCCATACGCTGTGACAGGGAACATGATGACAGCCTGCCCAGTGAGGACTGTAACTACAACCACAGACTGCTGTGTTCCCTGAAAACACTTAAAAATAACCAAGGTGGGCTAGAAGCCAAGTGTTGTGGCACCTACCTGTAACTACAGCATTCAGGAGGGTAAAGCAGGAGGATCCTAAATTCAAGGCCTGTATCCTTCCTTGTCTCTGAGCTACTTTATGTTAAGTTGTATAAAACTCCAAGGGTAAGGTAAGTGAATTCCTGTCCAAAGAAGTGCAAATTCATTGTACCTTGTGGACAGAAGTAAATTAGACCTCTGCCCTGTTGATAGTGTATAATTTTGTATCTGTTTTTAAACTCACCTTGGCATTTCCCCACCTCCCCATCCTGGGGCTTGAACTCAGGGCCTGGGTGCTGTCCCTAAGCCTCTTTGTGCTCAAGGCTAGAGATCTATGACTTGAGCCACAGAGCCACTTCCAGCTTTTTTGAGTAGTTTATTGGGGATAAGAGTCTCAAAGGGACTTTTCTGCCTGGGCTGGCTTCGAACTGCAATCCACAGGTCTCAGCCTCCTACATAGCTACTATTACAGGTGTAAGCCACCAGCACCTGGCTTGCTTTTGCTTTTGAAACAAGGTTCCTTATGTTGCAAAGGCTGGCTGAACTCCTGCATTCAAGTGATCTTCCTATCTGAGCTACAAGTAGCTGGGACTGCAGGCAAGCCCTTTGTTGACATTAAAAACATGGGCAGGGGCTGTGTCTTTCTGCTGACCCCCTAATTCCTTCACTTTTCCTCAGTAACTGATGAACTACACAAGACCTTTCACAGTGCTGTGTTCATTTAAGGAACAAGTGTATCACCTCTCCAAATGAACAGATGGAAGATACAAACATGAATTGTATGCAACAATTTCTCCAAGAGGCTAGCTTAAGAAACAGAAATAAAAAATGCAACCAGAAAGAAAAGATAGAAATGTGGGTACGTGAGTTGGCAGTGGGTGAAGGAGGGAAGCCTTATCTGCCCTGAGAGAAGACAAAAGGCACAGCCTGGAAAATAAAGAAATTTCAGAAGCAACACAACAGTACCCAAGCTCTGAGTTCAAGCACCATGACAAAAGGAGGAAGAAGAGGAGGAAGAGGAGGAGGAGGAGGAGGGAGAAAACGGAGGATGAAGAGGAGGAGGAGGAAAAGGAGGAGGAAGAAGAGGAAGAGGAGAGCAGCAGCACAACAGAAGCATGCCATTTGGAGCTAAGAAGCAAGCACAGCTTGGGCAAGATGGCTAGCTGCAAGCATGGAGAAGCCACAGATAAGATGCTGCCTTTCTTTGAGTTGGTCTCTTAGGGAACTTGGGAGACCTAAGAGGCTCCATGAATCTCCTCAGTACTTTTAAGAGCACTGGACAGAAAAGAGAACTTGCTAGGAGGCTGCAGCTGAAAGCAAGGTAGCTATGGACAGGACCACAGGAGAGGTGTGGCATGTGACCAAGGGCCTGAACTGCAGGGGGCGGTAGGGGACAGGGAAGACTCTTCAGCAAGGAAAGAGTGAATTAATTATCCAGACACCATGTGACAGCCCGGAGAGCAGCATTTACTAGAAGGGCCACTAGGAGGCTCTTCCAACGTGCGGGAAGGGATGGAGAAATGGAGTACGACACCAGGAAGAAGAGAGTGGTGATGGTGTCACTGACTGAAAACAGGAGGATTCTGATTGGGACAGAATGATTCTGGAGACCTGGGCAAGCAGTGGCTGTCCTGAGTGGCAGAAAAGTCTAGACCCTGGTACCATGGCAAGAGGGAAGGAGGGAAGGTGGAAAGCAGGTGAAGCAGGCAGGAACAGCAGGAACCAGAGTAGAGAGGGAGTAGCACAACAAAGGAGGGAAGTACCCCCAGGAAGTAGCCAACTGAGGGTGAAGAGTGCTCAGTGTGCTTCTGGTACAAACAGCTACCGGAAGTTCTCAAAACTCCTGTCACTACCTTCCAGTCCAGCAGGCCTTCACAGGGCTGACCCATACTCAAGTATGGCAGAAAATAGAACGCCCTTGTCTCTTTCTTCCTCTAAATTTGTTGTGCTTTATATGATCTCCACTGTGACCCCCTTTTGGTGCTGGATCTGATACCTGGGGTTTCATGCAGGCTTAAGAACATGCTCTACCACTGAGATACATTGCTTCCCATTGTTTGCAGTACTGGGGATTGAACTTGGGGCCTAACACTTGAGCCACACCTCCAATCAGTTTTTGTTTTGTTTTTGTTTTTGCCAGTTCTGGGTCTTAAACTCTAGGTCTAGGTGCTGTCCCTGAGCAATTTTGTTCAAGGCTATGGCTTTACTACTTGAGCCACAGCTCTGTTTATGGCTTTGTCTATTGGAGATAAAAGTCTCATGGACTTTCCTGCCCAGGCTGGCTTCAAACCCCAAACAAACCTCAGATTTCAGCCCTTGAGTAGCTAGGATTACAAGCATGAGCCACTGGTGCCAGGCTTGTATTGGTTATATTTGAGGCAGAGTCTCACTTCATGCCCAAAGCCAGTGTAGGCAGTGATCCTCCTTGTGCTTTCCTATGTTCCTAAGGATGATAGGCAGGTGCCACTGTACCCAGCCATCATGCTTCCTCAACCAGCCACTGGATGAGATGGAGTCTCACACACTTTTCTGCCTGAGATGGCCCTGAACCACAACCCTCCAGACCACTGCCTCCCAAGAATTACGATTTGAGCTACCACACAGCTCCTTGTGTGTGGTTTTTTTTTTTTTTTTTTTTTTTTTGGGGGGGGAGCAGTCTTAGAGCTCTAGAACCCTGTCTCTGACCTCCTTTTTGCTCTACCACTTGAGCCACAGTGCCACTTAGCGCTTTTTCTATGATTAATTGGAAATAAGAGTCTCACAGTTTCTAGTCTGGCTTGGCTGGCTTTGAACCGCAACCCTCAGATCTCAGCCTCCTGAGTAGCTACGTCTATAGTTATAAGCTACCAGTGCCCAGTCTCATGCCATATTTTGATGAGCAAAATATTTAATTTATTGAAGAAGGTGTGACACTGGCCAATAAACATTGTATTCATAACATGACTTATGGAATTGTAACTTCTTTGCATAACTACTTAAAAAAAAACAAATTTAAAAACTAGTTTATGAATACAGATACTTTGGGGGCATGTGCCAAATTTTTACTAATAGAATTTAAGATCAAAATCTACTGGTAGAACATATTTGGAGCTAGGTGTGGTGCTGCATACTCTAAGCCCAGCATTTGGGAGGTGGAGGCAAAAAGATTATGAATTTGAGGCCAATCCAGGCCACATAGAGAAACTGTCTCAAACATTTTTTGAAAAGAATATATGTGAATAGCACAAAGCAATATAGAAATGTAAGGTGTAATTACTACAAGTCTGGTCTCCAACTACATTTCTTTCTTTGTTTTTGGGGGGGGGGCGGTCTGGTCATGGGGCCTGAACTCTGGGCCTGGGCACTGTCCCTCAGCTCTTCAGCTCAAGGCTAGCGCTCTACCACTTGAGCCACAGCGCCACTTCCGGCTTTTTTCTTTTTGCTTATGTGGTGCTGAGGAATTGAACCCAGAGCTACAGGCATGCAAGCAAGCGCTCTACCACTGAGCCACCTTCCCAGCCCCTCCAACTACATTTCAAAACAGACACTTTTAAAGTTCATCAAGCCAAACCTCATTAACTTCTCTCAAATTAACTTTCCAGAGCACATCATTGCAAACATGACACTGTTTTACTGATGGAATGCACCAGAAATGAACACTCTTGAAATGAAAGCATTACTAAGTATATTTTTAATACATATTAGAGTTTTTTAATTCTTAAGAAAAACAGGTCATTTAATATGGGACAACTCTCAAGAAAGTTTCTAAGTACTTTATATGTCCTTGTTCAAGGACTTTGTATTTCCTGTTCAGAAAGATAGTGTTTCCAGAACTGTCTCAAAATACTTCAATAAGGCGCCATTACAGCAACCACTGACTTTGTTTGTTTGTTTTTTGGTTGGTCTTGGGGCTTGAACTCTGGGCTTGGACGCTGTCCCTCAGCAATTCAGCTCAAGGCGAGAGCTCTACCGCTTGAGTCACAACGCTATCCAGTTTTCTAGTGGTTTATTGGAGATAAGAGTCTCATGGAGCCGGGTGCTGGTGGCTCACGCCTGTAACCCTAGCTATTCAGGAGGCTGAGATCTGAGGATCGCGGTTCAAAGCCAGCCCGGGCAGGAGAGACCGTGAGACTCCTATCTCCAATAAACCACCAGAAAACCGGAAGTGGCGCTGTAGCTCAAGTGGTAGAGCGCTCGCCTTGAGCTGAAGAGCTGAGGGACAGCGCCCAGGCCCAGAGTTCAAGCCCCACGACCGACAAAAAAAAAAAAAAAAAGAGTCTCATGGATTTTTCCTGCCTGGGCTGGCTTTGAACCGCGATCCTCAGATCTCAGCCTCCTGAGTAGCTAGGATTACAAGCGTGAGCCACCGGTGCCCAGCTCAACACTGATTTTTTTTTAATGACAAGTCATCATGTTCTTAATCATGACAGAACAAACCCTTCCCTTATCACATTTCAGCTCCTTAGTAACTTCACTAATAAGTTATGTACTTAATTCTCATGACAATAATACCTCAATGGTCCTTAGAACATGTTTGTTCAAAGCCCTCAAGTAACCCCTTTCCTATTGGGCTGTTAGATGAATTACCTAAATGCTGAGAGCCAGAAAATGCATGCAAATGTGAGTTTGTTTACACAGTGTATGTGTAAACACAAATACAATTTTCTTCTGTGTATATGATAATATATGTTATATAATGTGACAGGCCTTGTCCCACCCCCTAGTTAAGTCTACAACCTGGCAAACAAACTTGATTACCAAAACTGAGACCACCACAGTGAGAGGAGGCCATTAGAAAA